TAGACCTGTGTCTGACTAGAGCACCTTCTCACAGCTTCTAGTAGTAGAACGTTGATTTTCCTCATGAATCACCATTTCTTGGATACAGTTCACACTCAACATAAACCATGTTTGAGAAATTGACATTTGGTTCAACCCTGACCAGTGAAGCTACTTATTCTGTGCTCAGCTGAAACTGTGGGGAAAAACAGTACTCCTTGGTTATCTTCACCAGTTTGGAAAAAGCTAACTCGCTTAGTCAGTGCAAAGGAGAGTGAAACAGAGATGGAGAATAAGCAAGCCCTGAAGATGTAGTTTGAGACTCCAGATTCAGTTAACCCCAAAGCTGTTTCTTCTACCTTTTTTCCTTTTGGCTAATATTAATTTGAATCTGTTTTCTTTCATTTACAGAGAAAGTAGAAAGAAAAGTTGGACCGAGAGAGTAAAATCTGCCTGATCTCAATGACTGTAATAACAGAAATAAAGTCACTTTACAAAGTTTGCTATCCACATTTTTCCCTCAAGGACACACTACAAGATCTGTAGTGTCATAACTCCCTCTTTATGAGTGACTACAGCTATTTAAAATCTTATCAGTGAGATAGACACATTCCACTCTTGCATACAGGTTCTAAGTCTTTTCGACATGAGAAAACAGCTTTGAATCACAACCCAGGAGCAGAAACTCAGATCAGGGAGTTTCTACAGCTAACATTGCACAGATATCTTGACATCATAGGGCCAAAGAACCATAATAATCTGGGTCTAATTTGCTAATCCAGATACTTTACACACTCTATTTTGTTGACAGTCTACCAGAATAGTGTTGGTTGAGATTTCACCTCCTCTTTACCCTTACACAGAACACTATAATGACTCCATGTCCCCCTCAGTTTTGTGAGAGGACCCTTATTTCATCTTCTGTGTGGTCGCTCTCCTTGTGATGGGCCAATAAACCTGATTCCATCAGTTCATAAGTACTAGTTCCTGGTGGTTTTGGGTTGAATAGGCTTGTGAAACAGAAGCATTTTAATTATGATAGCATTCTTTCCTGTAATCATCCCTGCACTCATGGTGGTTTTATAATTTAAAGTCTGGTCATTTATTCTTCTCCCAAAGTAAATATCCCAGGAAAGCCAGGCTATGAAGTGATTGTTTTAAAGATGAGGGCCTTAGCCCAGCCTCCTCGAAGTCAGATGCTTGTCCTATTGACATTGCTATCATTGGGGAGCTTGCGGGAAGGCAAAATGTGAAGCTCACTCCTGACTTGTTGAATCAGTATTTCTAGCACTTTATTGAGATACTCATAATTGTATGCACAATCAAATTTGAGTAGTGCAGCCCCATAGAGTCCTAAGAGGTGAGAAGAGAGATAGAGCCATTGACTTTTCCCATATAGAAGCCATGCCACAAGCTATTGTGTTGTAATTTGTGTTTTTTTTTTTTTCTAAATGTTTCTTTAAGTAAGGAACATTTGAGAAGCACTGCGTTAAGTTCTATGAATATTTCACCATGAACCCAATTTTGCCATTTCATCATCTGTGTCTGTTGGTCGGGGCTTATGGTTCTAGGGTCATGTGCAGGTGAAGTTCTAGAATGTCTCCATAACAGAATTGTGAGGGTGAGTCTATGAGGAACTCACCTAGAAACCTCCTAGAAAAATTTCTTGTGAGGAGAAACCATGAAGACACTTGACCAAGAACAAATTTCTGGTCCCCAGCAGGGAACTTTGAGACCAGCATGGTGACTGTCGCTGGAATTACCTACTGTCCTAAACCATCCATACTTTTGTGTGTGTGTGTTTGTATGACAGAAAAAAAAAAAAAAAAAAAAAGAAAGAAAGAAAGAAAATCTATGAGAAAACTGAATGAGATTTTGGCCCCTAATCATTGGCAATTACCAGGACACTAAAGTCCCTCTATTCACGTGTAGCATGAAGGGACAAGCAGTTCCCTACCAATATTTACTTGACTACAGACCACTTACCTCCTGGCACTGAGGACTTTGCCTTTGTAAAGATGCTCATCTCGGGATATAGCAGTGCAGTGCCACCTGGGTTGATCAAGGAGTCTGCTGCAAAAGGGAGAAAGACTGAAGCCCCCTGTGGATATCAAGATAAGAATGAAGCAACAGGCAGTAGCCAGGACTGGGAAATGTTTCATTACACACAAAATATCTGGGAACTCAGGAAGATGTAAGGAAAATGACAGATTTCCAGAAAGGTATATCATCAAAGATCTTGTGTGGAAGCAGTAGTCTGTGGAATTTTAGTTCACATATTCATGTAATGCCAGTTTTTATAGAAGTAGATGAGGAGTGGGAAAATTTAACAAGAGATTTTGTTTAAGCTCAAAATATAATCCTCTCCTCTCATTTTCTTTAAATAGATGCATCATAAACCAAGTTCCCCTAGGTGAATATTCTTTGATAAGATTTACAGCTGGGAGGGGGCCCCTGGACTACAGTGGAATATTATAGGTGTGGTATGGTAATATACAGCTAAATAAGTATGAGCTTGTACTCCTAAATCTACACAGTGCTTTAAACCAACCTCAATAACAATGAAAAGAATAAGGACACAACAACTATTTTTCAGTATTTTCCCTATAGTTTTCCAACATGGTCAGTATCACTCCAAGTGGTACAGGAGGTTGAAGATACTTCCTCAAACTTTTGAACCCTCATTGTCAGAAGTCAGCGTTCAGTGTGCTCTTGGTTCGTGTCATTTGTCCACCATTCAACTGGATCACATCCAGTCATTGAATCATTGTATCCAGATATGCTTTAATAACATGCTCTGGATATACAGAAATTGGTTAAGAAATGCCTCACCTTCAAAATTTAAAGATTCACAAGGCTGTAATCAGGTGAGAAAAAAGGATTATTGGTTCCAAATTAATATTTTCTGCCTTTTCCTCATGCCAAAATAGGAAACAGTTTGCAAACACATTATTTTATTCCAAAGTGAAGGAGAACAATTTAATAATAGCTGAGCATTTGTGTTGAGGCAAAAGGTTTTTACTTAATTATTTCTCAGTAAAACCCCAGGAACAAAATTACACTGTATGTGAGAAGAAAAAAAAAAAGTGCAAGGAGAAAATAAGCTTCTGCTAAGGAGTGTTTCCAGAAACACTGGCACCACGGGGTCTGCACTCTTGTCCTGTTCCTTAAGGCACTAACACTCACTTTTGCAATTTCACTGTGGTTTTAAAGTGGTTCACCTTTGCCTAATAGGTCCAGATGGTTCCAGGAATATTTCTATCCACAGCACTGATGGATGAAAATGGTAAAGGGTACCCAGTTCCACTTAGCTTCACTGCTTACCACTTAGTTCCTGTAAGCCATTATTATGGCTCACGACCAAGGGCATATAGTGACCATACATTGAGAGCTGAGGTGGAAACCTTCCATAATTCCATAGCATTACTTTCCACTTACCCAGAAATTATTTCCTGTTATTCCAGATGATATTTTTACCCCTTTGTCTAAGAAGAATCACTGCTTTTGCCCTGCATGCAGAAATATTCTTTGCCTTTGTGGGATCTGTTTTACTTCATGAGCTCAGCCTATTGAGAAAAAGCAGTTTCAACAGAGGTAGTGGGAGTGAAGGAAGGCAGGAAAAAGGATTAAAGCCTCTGCTTTTGTTGTTTGAGAGATATAGATAGAATGTGGGACAAGCTCATCCACAGTGACCTGCCCACAGTGAAGGGAGAGAAGGGGAATCTACTCTTCATCATAGGTGGCTCTGACCAACCAATTTCTGATTATAGCTGTTATAAAAATTGTGCTTTTATTCTCAGCCTTTTAGAAATAACTGTGATCACTTTTATTAGTTTGGGATATTACTTTGAAAAGGTGATTGAGCATGAATTTTTGTTAGTTTATCTTTTTGTTTAGAGGGCAAAATAGTACCACCTGCTAGTACTTATGGGACACTACCAAAGCTATGTTTCACCCATTTCCTTAAGGGATATTTGAGAAAAGTTTCTGTAGTGCTTAACAAGAAAAACAGCCTTATTACAGACATTTGGAAAAAGTGTGCTGAGTAACTGCAAAAATAAATAATGATTCTGATGAAGTTATAGCAATGCCACACTAAAGACAAATACGTAGTTATGTGGAATATTATTTGCAAATATATACTATTTCTTAAATGTAGAAATCATTGCATATTTAAAGATAGAAATCCAGCCCTCCCTGGTGGTGCAGCGGGTTAAAGCACAGCACTAAAAAGTTAAAACCACTTTAGCATTAGTTCAATTCCTGCCCCAGATGTGATCCACATGATGTGGCAGATCTCTCCTGACCTGCCTGCTGCTCCCCTCAGCAGTGTACTTCATCAGTCTGCCAGTTCTGCTCCCTATTCTGTCTCTGGTGAACCCTCTCATCATCCCTGCACCTCTTGGCCTGTAACCCAGTTCTGTACGCATAAATAAATAAATCTTTTTTTTTTTTAAAGATAGAAACCTCTAGTGTCATGAACTTACTGGTGTAAATTAATAAGCAGATCCTTGGGGGACTATGTCCAAGTTCAGCCCCAATGTTAAGCTTGGACCACATTTTTTGCATGGATTGTCTTTATAAGAGTATTACAATACTGATATGTAGTTTTAAGGCTGATTTGAATCCTAGCACATAAGGTTTAATGATGAACTACAAAGGCAGTTTCATTTCTGAAATTTTGTTATATGCATTTGACACAGTGAAAATTCAGTCAAAGTAGATTTCCTTTACCTTAAGCTTTTAACCTTAAAAGGTGTTTATATAAATATGATGCTCTATTGATATTGCCCTAATTTGTGGTAATGTCAAATACTAAAAATATGAGACTTTGGAGAGAACTATGATGTAGGGGAAGCACTCAAGAATTGCCTTATTTGGTGGAGAATATATTCTTTCACAGAGGATATCCTAACACGATGATTCATATTTTTAAAAAAGAATCGTATTTTCTGATGTTCTGAGTCATGTCCTATTTAAGAATCAGCTCTGATGAATTTGAAATTAAAAAATAATAAAGATAACTTGTACCAAGACTTTATTAAGCATTTCACTGAATACAAAGAAACTTTGTTACATTAAGAACACAATCTTATCAAAAAAATTCACATATACTAAACTGAACCATAGGTGTATATTTTGTTTACATCACATTTATTAAAGTATCAATGACCAGATCCTAAAAAGAGAAGGCACAGATCTGTCTCCCTCTGGTGAATTTCTGGTGTTTAATGAAGGAAATGTCACCAGCTCTGCAAATTTCCATGCTTTGGAAATGAAGCAAATCAACACAAATATGTGCAAATGGAACTATGAAATGAAAATGTTGTATTCAGGAATTTGGATTTTCTTAATACAAAAATTTCAAGAGAAGATGTAGGTGCCAAAAATGTCCCCAAACTCCATCCATAGTCAGCCTACATCAAAGAATCACTATTGGAGATGACCATATTTAGACTATTTTAGGAATTCCACCATGGTTCTGTCTTCTGCAAACTGTTCTAGAAACTGTCCTTAGAGCAGCTCATTGTTCTTACTCTGGAGTGTCTTAGATTTTCAGTTTCTCCCAAAAACTGCTGGTTGTAATAACCGGCTTTGGCAGATTTCATTGTCAGGGTCTACAGCCATCTTTGCCTGCTCCCCAACACCCCTCTCAGCCCCTGAGGAGACACACAGACCTGTGACTTGACCACAATGTTCCAATGACTTCTCTTTTCTTCTGTCAAACAAGCATGTTTTTCTATGTCAGCTTTTCCACAGTTCCACAGATGACCAATGTGATAAAAATAATTTGTGGCCAGCCGTTAATAACTTCTCTGAGAGAAGAGAAATTGAATTTTGTTAGAAGGTGCGCCACTCTCCAGAGGCATTTTTAATGTATAAGTTCATTTTGTCCCAATTAGTGGGAAATGTTACTTAAAGGATTACTGGAGATTTTTCTGCACCTCGAATATGAGTTTACTTTCTTTGTAGAATAATGAAGTCCATAAATTGATTGACATTGAAAACTTTTGAAAAGCATACGGTGCTCCACAAACTGTATTGTTTGCTCATGGAAACCCTGGTAAGTTGTTAAGCACATTTTTTCTTCGAAGGGATCTATGTGGGGGGGCAGGATACTCTGGAAAGTCACAACAGGCAGTGGAGAGAAATTTGAATGTGACAATATTAATTATGCCTTAATTTTTTCATCTATGAATTATTCCATCTATGAATTGTTCCTTCATAACGTATTTTTAGATTTGGCATGGACTAAATCTAATTATTCCATCTATGAATTGTTCCTTCATAACATACTTTTAGATTAGGCATGGGCCAACATTTTACTTCATGAAGGGCTTTAAGAACCATAGATCTTCTTGAATTCTCTTAAGATATGAAAGGAGGATAGCTCTCACCCTTTATTGGTAAACCAGATTAAAAAACAATAGAGGCATGATGCATAGAGGAAGAAAAAAAGAAACTCAATTGGCGATATTTGAATATCAGATAAACAATGAGTATTTTTTTAGTATTAGAATACTTTATGAAATATTTGGGAGATAAGCTAAAAATTTATTGTTTATCTGAAATTCACATCTCACTGGATATCGTTTTATCTGGCAACCCTTAATATGGAAAAAAAAATTATGAAGGAAAAATAAAGGGAGGAAAACTAATCACCAGATCCCAGGTCCTTACAAGATTGAAGAGTTTTTTGCTTTGAGCATGTCAAGCCTATGCAGATCCTTAATCTAGTCATGACTTTTCTATAAGTGAATTATATGTAGGCTAAGGGGTAAAAGAGCTTCTATAGGCTTGTTTTTTGAGGTCAATAACATGTTGGAACCACCTAATATTGATGAGTCTTTGGTTACTCTCACAGAGTTAGAGAAGTTCATATGAACCGAGAAGATCCAACTTTTAAAATGCAATGGTTTGGAGAAACTTTTCATGGGAAACCCTTCTTTACAAGCAAGATGGTTCCATGTTTGGAGAACAGCTTTAGCGGCACATCGACAATGTGGTTGTTGGAAACGAATGTGAATTTAGGAGGTTTTTTGGAATGAAAATGAAGTTAATTAATTGGTGGTAACTGGAAACTTATGAAAAGCATAGAATGTTCCACGAACAGGACTCTTTGGTAATGGAAACTCAGAGTAAGTTGTAAAGCACATTCCTCATCTGATGTTTCAAAAGGTCATGTTTAACTGAAACATCATTTCTCTTGAAGTTTGAATCTGAATGCAGCAACAAGAAATGGCAATGCATTAAGACTGGTCATTATGTGCCCTTTTTTAGGATAAGTTTGATTTTCATAAGATACAATACACATACACACCACACAGGCACGTACTTCTGACTCATACAAGTATATGTTTAGAACAAATACCTACAAAATAGTATCACAAAATGAAATCAGAGTTACACAATGTTCAACAGACAGTCAACACATTTTTACAAATTCTACAGACCATTTTGTCATTGTCATTAGGAAAATGAACAACTTAGAGCATTATTTAAAATGGCTATATAACACAGGAACCACCAATAAGTTATGGCAAATACAGCACTTACACCATTGTGTCACTGAAATCTAGTTGAAAGACTAAAGTACTATCAAACAAAATATTTTAAAAACCTTGATTAGCATATCCTGAGGGACACTGCATGGTTTTCTATTAGCAATTCAAAATGCGACCACTCTCATTTAAATGAGCGACCAAAGGTGTCATTGGATCACGAAAGCAGTAGCACTGAAAAATTCATGAAAACATGCATTTCCTGAGACTTCCAAATTTTCCAGACTGGAATCCTAACAGGGGAGAACCTGAACAGTTAACCTTGGCGGAAAAGATGACAGAACCTCAAATAACTCAAAGTAACCTTAAATGAAGATGCATATTTGTTTGTAATTTCTCTTCAAGCATACTTTTGCTTCTCCAGTTCAAAGTGTCAGTGAAAATGTGGCTGGACTCTCACTGCTAGGCATTTCTTATTTATAAAGATCTCATTTTTCATTGGTCTTCCAGTGATTTTTTTTCCTCTTAAATATTTAATTATTTGAATTACGTGTGTGCCTACTAGTGCAAGAGATCCTGTTTACGAGTTAAAATGGCAATAAGATCAGGTTGATAATTAGAGTGCAGTTTCCATGTGAATAATGTTATAAGTGTGAGAATGTACACGCCAAGCATGTGTGTGTGTGTTTACATGTGTGTTCATACACAGGCACAAAATGACAAACACTTCATGCTCTAATACATTCACATTTAGGTGGCATTCCATGAAAAGTGAATTTTCCTAGTATGGCTGAAAGTGAAGATTGAGGTCATCATATAAAATATCCTAAGGCTTTGAAAAGATGCTTTCTCATTTGCTGTATTCACATGACTGTGTTGTGATCAGTGAGACAGAAATGATAATGGCAGGATTCATCACTGTGACTCTTCCGAATGAAAAACAAGGTAGAAAGCCAAAAATGGTATCTGGGCATGGATTCCCTCATCTCACCCACTCCTTAGATTTCCTAGATTGGCTTAAAACTGGATAGTATTATTTTTGTTTGTTTGTTTGCCTGGCAGGACTTGTGACACAGAGTTGGAAGGAACAGGAAAGAAAAGTGCCCCAAGATGTAAATCCTCCCACCTTGAGACCTATCTGTAGCCCTTGTGCTGTGAGCTATCTAGAAAGACACCGCCCCACTGAGATAGGGGGAGAGTTGGGGTGGGAGGAGCTGGTGGCTTGGGGCTAAGGTAAGTTCTGGCCTCACCCCCCACCTCTTGATGTAAGTCCCCAGCCTGCTCCCTGAGTGTGCTCCAGGGCAGAGCCAATGGACAAAAGCCAACCACAGGTACCTCTCCATTGCCCTTTTAAAAGAATCATTCCTTGTGAACTCTTCTTTAGTTGGAGGAACATGGCTCACTTTTCCCTGTTTACTCTTTAGAAATTAAGGCAAGTCCATTTATCCTCAGGGCCTGTTTTCTAGGCATCATATGTATGCAGGGAACCATATCATTGACTTGAAATAACCTTTTGTCAAACAGGTTTTCTGTGTGCGTGTCATTAATAATAATGAAAAGCTTTCTCTGGTAAGAATCTGCATGATTAGGCTAATGCTTCAGTGTTTGTTTTTTCCAGCACCCAAATGACAAAGCTAACCTAAGCAAACATTACAAGAAAGCATTTAAGTTAAAAAAAAAATCATTACTATATCTGATTCATTGTCAATATGTTGAAAGATCTGTTTTCTGCTATATTTATAAGTTAAATCTTTGTGTCATGGCAAGTGTGCTTAGCTGAACATGCTCTTGAGGCATGAATAATGAATAATCAGAGAGACAGTCTGCCCCAAAAGCAAGTTTATAGGACATGAATCTCGATAATCCACAGTCCTTTAAAAATGATTCTTATTCAATTGCAGGTGAAGGGGTGAGGGGGGGGGAGAATAAAACTGCCAGGGAAAGATGAACAAAAATTATATATATGTAAATAATTAAGTCCCAGCTAGACTATTTTTACAAAAATATTTAATATCATCATCTATTCTACTTTCAGAGTTCTTATCACTCATTTTAGGTTTTAAGAGTTACAGTCTTAAGACTATTTAATATTATCGTTGCTGTCTTGCAAAAAGAAGAGTTGTGATTCTGTCTATGTCTGTATTTGTGTGACTTGTATTTATTTGTGTATTGCATGCACAGAAGTGGGTATATATTGTGTTAGGCAAGACATAGACATACAACTGGGAAAGAGAACATATCTGCTGTGTGTAAAATGCATGCTACTTGTTCTACACACACACTGACACACTTCTCATAAACATTCTTTTCCATTAAACAATTCCTATTCCCTCATGCAGCTGTTAATAAATACTATTTTCTGACAGTGAGTATTTATAATCTTTTAATTAACTCTTTATTATCTATAGTCTTCACATACATACTCTTGGAATTGACTCCCCCTTATCTAGGCCTAAGAGATTAAACCAATTATCCTACATTTAAATTAGTTAAAATCAGAGGGCATGCTTCTACTTCTCTGTGGCCCCACTTTGTATGGACTATATTTTCCCAAGAAACTATCAAGGAAATTATCTCTAAACATGAAAATAAAGTAATTCATAATTGTAATAATTTGAGCATATTTGAGAAATGCCTCACAAAGACTGAGAAACATAGGCAAGGGTTATTGTGCTCTTCTAAGACTATTTTAGACTCGTCACATTTCACAAAGGTTCCAAGCAAAAAACAAGCTCAAAGCTGTATTATAATTTTTCTTCTCTATAGAATCGGATTATCAAATGTTGACCTGCAGACACTCGCTGTGATACATTTACAGTCTCATTCTCGACCCTGGGGAGAGGGAGCTATGAAGGGGAGGTAGTGTCGATTTTCATAAGTCTGCCCAGGGGAGAGGGAACTATGAAGGGGAGGTAGTGTCGATTTTCATAAGTCTGCCCAGGTCATAGAGATAATTTATGGATCTTTGAGATTTCATGGGCACAGTTTCAAAAACATTGCTCTAAGGCTTTCCACCACCTTTCTTCAACTTCACGTAGGAAAATCAAATCAAAGCTTCTTGAAATATCTTCCTCAAACACTTGAACCTATGATGACATATTTGGATTCTGATTGATTAGAGAAATTTACATACTAGTTCATTTCTTTCTTTTTCTTCTTAAAAAAAAAGCAAATAAAAATCATTTGAAGACAATTGCAAAAGTTCTTTTCAGACTTTTCTGACTTTAACACACTTGTCATAACTTACAATTACTGGGCATTTCAGAGCAATTCTATTTAAGTTATCCTTTAATTAAAATGGTATTCATCTCCCCTCCTACTATTTTTCATTACGGAGTTGGCACAAACAGTTTTTCCAAAAATTTTTACTCTATACATATAGCTGCCTGAAATAGAAATACTGTGAAACACTATTATTTCACATAACAAACAAACAAACAAACAAAATCACTGGTCATGGTCTTCAATATTTACTGAGGCAGGGAAACTGACTGGATACATATTTTCTATGATCATGAGTTAGCAGTGATCACCCAGTTGCAGATGACCACAGAATATTATATCAAGTCCCACAAAACAAATTTCAATACAACAATGTAATACATGTTATGTTGAGCATTCAATTGTTTGGAGTTTCACACAGCAGCTGACTAAAAAAAGTGCACTAGAGGGAGCAGAAAGATTCAGCAAGAGAATGCAGACAATGTTGGTTGGTGCCTTAGGCTGAAACCAGAAACGCAATCAAGTAAACACTCAGAAGTATTACGATACAAAGACTAATTTTGAAAAGCAAAATTCACTGGTCTTTTTATCCCTAACACTAAATTTTGCTCATCAAATGGGAAATGAATTATTTATAGTAATGCAGAATATGATTATAATCACTGAAGAAATGGCTTCCCTCTTTTCCCACCCACTACCAGCCCTAATCCCTTCAGAGACTCAGTGGAATAGGAAGATCAGAGTGTTTATAGATAAAATGCCTAACACGATGAGTCTTCTCTGTCTTATGCGTGGACGTGGATGCTCTAAATGGTGCTATCAAGTGTTGGCTTCTCCTTCATCAAAGACATAGTTGAGCTTTATGACAGTGCTGATGAAATCACCAAGTTCTACAAAATCAGCAGTGACAATATTGATGCCGCTCTCTCCTGGTTTCTGCATGCGGACCCATTGCATCATGGCTGGGAGGGCTCTGAGAACAGAAGAAATAAAGATGTCACTAAAGGCCAGACATTATTTTTCAAGCTTACAATTCCCAGCTTCATTTAGTTTTCTCTCTAAAGAAATGTCCCAATTATAGCCACAAAATGGAGGGGAAAAAGTCAAAGGACAATGCTAATTTCTTAAACTTTGAAGAGGTTCTGCAGGAAAAATGTTCACAGCCTGCTCTATCTACACTGGTCTCTCCATCTTTGAAAAATGTCAGTGCTGTGAGAGTTTATAGTGAAGGTTGTCCACTATTCTGATTTGGTGTGGTGTGGCTGCAGTCTCCAGGGATATGGGAACTGAGGTCAGAGATGAATACATGCACGTAGCAAACACTTCTTATCAACCTCCTTCTTTCTAGACATTTTTAGATAGTGCCAGATATTGTAAATAGACATAATAGCAAAAATCTTTGCATTCAGATCTCATGTTTCAGTGGCGGGCAGGTGCACGAGGAGGAAAAGTGTATACCAGGGCTCATTCCTTTAGAAGTATTTATACCAAGGGTCTATTAGGTTGCAGGTACCATTGTTGGAACAAACCAGATCAAAATGTTCACCTGTGTGAGGCTGACATTCTTGTAAATAGAGATAGCTGATAAATTCTTACCATAAGCAAACTATCATTTAGTAGGAGGGAATGCATTATATAAAAATGGAGCAAAAAAGAGCACTAGGAGAATGGAGGTGAAGAGTGTTGCAATTGTGACTTAAAACAGGTTGCCTTAGTAGGACTCACAAAAAGGGGACATTTGTGCAAAAGCTTGAAGTTGTGCGGGTATCCAGGCAAAGCATTTCAGATGCTGCCATGACCCTAGAGAGGTTGGTATACCTAAAGCTGTTAAAAGGAAGGAGAAACTAGTAAGAAGTGAACAATATACAAAGGGAACAATATACAAAGAAGGACAGATCAATAGAGGATTCAGGGCCACTCTAAGAGCTGTAAGGTTTACTCTGAGTGAAGTGAGAGCCTGTGCAAGTTCCTGAGTGGGACAGCAGTGTGATCTGACTTTCATTGTAAAAGATGATTCATCCCTAAGGGAGTGCAGAGGAGAATGACCTAGCTGAGCCTGCGAAGTCAGGGGAAACTTTCCAAACACATTTTCCTGAATGTAAAAGCATAAGGAGGTTTCAGTTGGATGAAGGTGAGAGTGGGGGAAAGGACAGATAAAACATTGTCAGGCAGAGGAAATACCAGCTCTTCATTCATTAGCAGAAGTATAGAGTACGCTCAAGAGACAGACATATATAAGCAATGGCATAAGGGTGTACAGGACCCTTGGTAGCACCACTGTGTCTTGAAGGAGGGTGGGATTTCCATGAGAAAGAGATAAACTGAGGTCAGAGAAGTGATGGGGCAATGCCAAGATAAGTGTGAGTTAACACGCATAGACATTAAGTTCCTGGATGGTCTGGAAGTGAGGAGAGGGAAGAAGGAATGATGGAGTTAAGAATCTGAAAGTTACATCACAATTTCAAGAAGGACTTGAAAAATGTAGGAGAGAGAAGACAGGAAGAAAAAAAAAAGGACCTTCAGAAATGTAGATCAACTGAAAGTTTAACAACTTTCAGGGCAATAACATGATTAGATTTGTGATTTGGAGAAATTAGTTTGTCCTTTAAGTGGAGAAACGAAGAGGGGAGAGCAAGACTAAGGGCAGGAGTAACAATTGGGGTGGTATTAAAATAACTCGGGCAGAGACAAAGGTCATTTAAACCGCAGGTAGGGGCAGCAATAAGTATATACTAAAAGGAGCTCAAGTGCCACGTTCAAGTGCATGCATACAGACTGAGGCATCTTTGAGACACGGGAGTTGAGATCTCAGTTGGTAGTTGAGTAATTGTGATGTTCAGACACAGAGCTGTCTGAGAGACACCCAACAGAGAGAACAGTTAGAACCATGACAGTGGATATTACAGAGGAAGATTTTATAGACAGGAAAGAGAAGGGGAAGAAAAGGATAAGCAGTGTTTTAGGAATGGACTGAGAAGTTGATTCAGTCAAATGTAAAAAGTCGTCACAAAAGTAGGGAAAAACACACAGTGCTGTGAAAATCAAGGAAAAAGGAGGCCATGTTCTTTTCATTCATGCACTAAAGCATAGAGGTAATACACATGCATGTTTCCAGATCTCAGAAACTATAGCTAGTCTAAACAAACTCAACCCATCCAGGCAAAATAAGGTCAGCTACCTCGGAATATGTTAATCTTTGTTAATGTATTGTTAATACTTTAAAAAATCCAATTCAGGATTTTTAACAAATACATTTTTTTTGTTAAGCACACAGGAGAATCTTGTTTTTCTTCTTAAAGAGCATAATATGGATCTATAAAGTTTAAATGCTCTAAAAGTGGACTTGCAGGTGGAGAAATTTAGTCCTTGCAGAAGAGAGTTCTAAGTTAAAAAATCTGGATCACTGGAACGCAGATACCAGTGTATTCAAGGTCATTAGGAAGGCAGATGCTTGAGAAATATGTGTACACAGCCTCTCTTGTTTGAATCTGATTACTTCTGTACTTGCCAGAACAGATGATGTATCTCTGCAGCATTGGCTTGGCTATTTTAGAAAAGGTAGATACTCTTTGGAAACCATATCAGAACCAGTACATTTCCTGCAAATAATGTCTGTTAGGCAGTTAACTCACCTTGAGAGGTAAGAGGTATAGTGGATAAGAGTGATGGGGTCAGTGCTAATTCTGTGCTAGTGAGTCACTGGCTCATCAACCCCCCTGGAGTAGTAAGTCATGGGAGGTGCCTGAGCAACCAATTTCCCATCTTAGAACCACGATCACCACAGAAACAGCTCTGCAGATGCCATCTAGTATTCTAAGATTAAATTCTTGGACCCAAACTTGAAACAACTAATTGTTATCCCCATGGAGAGATGTTCAGAGAACATAAGTGCTCTTCTCTGTTTCTCTATAAAAGACATTGCTTTGAGGATTGATGAAACATCCTTTGGAACAGACTGTAGTCCACAGTTGAAGTATGAAATTTATATTTAAAATACCATTTTTGAGTCATGGAAATATTTCTATTTTCTATTCAGATATTCTTTCCTAAAGTCAATATGATACCAAAGATAAAACCAGAAATAATGTCAAGCTGAATTTCAAATAGTCAGTCTTAAATAAAATTATGTTAAATAAAAAGATTCAACAGAATGCATTAAAATAGCAGAAGCAACTGATGTTAAAACAATAATTTGGAGCAGTATTTCTTACCTTTTTTCACTAGTTTCTACCTATGGAGCCTTTTAAAAAATATATCTTTTTTTCCTGCTTGTCCTCCATCTCTGTGAAGTTTAAATACCATAGCTAGACTCTGTGTCTGTTTATATTATCTTTGTCTATCTGAGTCTACATGTATGTTTATGTATGTATATGCACATATACACAGCACACACAATTGTGTATGTATATGTATGCACATATATGAGTATATAATATACGGAGATGTGTGTGTGTATATATGTGTGTGTGTGTGTGTATGTATGGGTGTGTGTGTGTGTGTGTGTGTGTGTGTGTATATATATATGCAGATACACACATCCACACATATATACACATAAATTTCTATTTGCACCCTCACCTTAATAGCCAAATTTCTTCCCTTAGGACAATATTGACATTTAGATAATTAATTAGAATTAGAGTGCACAGACAAATCTCTCTAATGGTAATAAATTAATGGCTCCATGTAACCATTCTATTGGTATAATATGGACTGGTTACAATTAAATTTTTGAAATCACTCATTTATTCTTTCACTTTTTTTATTCATTCAACAAAGCTGTATGGATTGAACACCTGTGGAACCTTCCAAAAGTCATCTTGGAGTGAAGAGCTTCTTCATTCAATTTAGAGGTATTGACACAGTCTTGTCCCCCACACTTTTTCTGCATTCCCTGACTTACTCTCATTTGAAAACATTATTCCTTTACATGAACAATTGCAAGTTCTTCTCTCACCTCTAAGATCCACCAGGCTCTTTAGCAGCGTGTATGAGTTCCTCCATATCCTTCTCATACCACTCACCTCATATATCCCTCCTTACTTTTACTTGTTATTTTCTAAGCCCTAATTTGTTCTCCAAAAATGCTGACATGTTTGTATTTCTCTCATAACATACCTGTAATTTTAGCTCTCTGTATTTACTCAGAACTTTGGTGTGCCATACCACCCTCTTTCCATAGCCTTTTTTGGTCTGACTAATTACTGCTAACCCTGACAATTTTCTCCATGCATTATCCTAATCACTCCCATCCAAATCTGGTTTGAAAAATCCCCTTTTTAATGTTTTATAATACTTTAACATAGTTCCATGACTGTACATTGTAATAAGACTGAGATTATTTATTTCCATCAGTGCCTGCACACTGCACACTTTTCAAAAAACATATCATCATCTTCAAAATGCTCCTTCCATCTACCAAAGCCCTTGAACCCAAAAGGAAAACAGTATATTTGCTGAACTCAAATGCTGAACTAGAAATCCTGGTGTCAGAAGCTGCAAAGCCTAACTAGCAAAATGGAGATGATCAGTCTTCCCAACTCAATACCATACAAACAAGTGGGCATAGGATACTATGAGAGCATATAGGAAAAACAATTTATTTTACTTGAAGGAATATAGCACAAAACAGATATTTGAGCTTGGCCATGATTAGATGTTCTTTAGATAAGAAGAAGGAAGGAATTGCAAGAAAAGGGAGCAGACCATGAAAAAACATATAGTTCAGAGAGGAGAGCTTCAGTAATCTCGTATAACTGAAACTTTGTACGCTTTAATCACCATCTTCCCATTTCCTCCTCTCCTTAGGCCCTGTCAATATCACCATTTTCACTTTAATCCTGAGTTTGACTGTTTTCAACTTCACATGTAAGTAAGATCACACAATATTAGTTTTCCTGTTTCTGGCTTATTTTACTTAGCATAAGGACCTCCTAACAATACTGTAATTCTATACAAAAATTTGCTAAAAGG